CATTGGTTACCTTCGACAATAGGTTTTTGCATGCTCAGTGGCAATATCAAGCGATCTGGGTAAAGCATAAATTGGTGAGATAGAGTAAATTCCATACATGATCATTTTCAAAATCCTTGTGCAACAGCTGTGAATAGTAGAAAAAGTATATCTATCGAGGAGAACGATTTCATCAATTGTTGACTCATCTTTTCTATGTCAATCATAATTTGCTACTGATCGTTTCTAAATGGCAAATAATTCAGATAAAGTTGAGCGAAGCTTTCTGCAATATGCTTAATAGTTGTTGCTGGTGGTTCTTCTTGATTGTAATACTAACAATGACGTTTTTTTTCTGTTAGATTTATTCGACATGCTCTTTAACAAAGATCGGATCGATTTCTTTATTTCCATAAATACCCATATTTTTCAATTCGTATTAAATGTAGAATAAAACTTTATACCGTTTATAAGCTCATCATAAAAGTACCACATTAATTTCAACTATTTAATTTTGCTTGAAAGCAATCACTTCTTAGTAGAAGTTTCTTTATAATTAAATATGAATGCTTTTCTAGTCTAACTTTAACAAACGAGTAAAGTTTCTCTGTAGTCAAGATTTATGATTACACTCTAATTCTTACAAAGTATGTCAAATAGATACCGCCTGCCGGGGATGTCTTTTGACATCTACAGGGTCTCACATCTGCTCGCAGAGTGTGGGAGGCGCCCCTGGGCTGCCGGTAGCCAAGCCGTCTGTCTCTCAGGCTAGCTACCTGTTAGATGGACATTAAACTTACCTAGCTAACGAAAAAGACAAAGATCCGTGCATAAGTGCACGTAAACCCACATTCTTTGGTCATTGGAATGTTCGATCGTGTCGACAACAATGGAAGAAAGAACTTATCGTCAAACAACTGCTAAAACACCGTATTCAAATTGCAGCTCTCTGCGAAACGGCTATGTACGACTCTGGTGTCACGACAATTGGCAAATACACATTTATTCATTCTGGAACCTCCAGTACAACGAAAACAAGATCAGCGCATGGCGTAGCTCTCTGTTTGGGAGAACAAGCAACCAAGGTTTGGAAAGATAGTGGTTCCGTATGGGAAGCAGTCAGCGAAAGAATCATCACTGCTCGACTTCAAAGCCATCCAATCTCGATCACACTTGTCAGCATTTACTCTCCTATTAATCCTTCAGCTGGCCAAACAACAGCAAGCGAAGAAGCTGATGCCTTTTACCTCGATCTACAACGAACTATTGATAGAGCACCAAAAAGTGATTTACTTCTCGTAATGGGCGACTTCAATGCAAGAGTGAGCAAACAACAGCACTTATCTGGATCAAGCGTCGTGGGCATTCATGCAGTGGACGATCTGAACGAAAATGGACAACGTCTCATAGACTTTTGCTCTCACAATGATCTTATTATAGCCAATACCTTCTTCAAGCACAAAACTATTCATCAAATGAGTTGGATGCACCCAGGCAATAAGAAATGGCATATGCTAGATTATACTCTTGTTAACAGAAAGTTCAGATCAACTGTAGAAGATGTACGTGTATATCGAACAGCAGCTGGAGTCATTGGAACGGACCACCACCTCATAAGATCAAAAATCAAACTTCATCTCAAGAGTCGAAAGAAGTCAACAACCAAGCAATCCCGAAGATTGGACAAGAGGAAATTGTGTGATCCTGTTATCGTTCAAGCCTTTCAAGCCGCACTTGCCGCCACACCGTCTTCCATCTCAACAGCATTTTCAACAAATAAAAAATACACTGAATTTTCAACCACCGTGAAAGATCTCAGCGAAACCTTCTTTGGTGTGACTGGACCTCAAAGAAAACACAAGGAGTGGCTTACTGATGAAATCCTCGACATCGTGAATAAAAAGTCACATGCTTTTCTTCAATGGCAAAACCACCGAGGTTCTTGGCAAGAACACAAATACCGTACAAAATATCGTATTCTGCGAAAGCAAGTAAAGAAAAAGGTAGAAGAACGTCAAATTGAGTATTGGGATGAATTGAGTCTCGAAATCGAGCAAGCAATCCAACAACATGATCCTACAACAGCATATAGAATGATTCGAAGACTCAAAGGAGGCAAAGCCAAAATTGAAGAAATGCCTATTCATGACAAACAAGGCAAGTTACTCACTAACGGTCATGAACGTCTTCATCGATGGAGCAAACATTTTCGTGAACTTCTCAATGTATCCTCCACTGTTGATCCCTCAATTATACAACGAATATCAATCTCTCAGATATCTCCTGAAGAACAAAAGCGTCAGGACAAACCTCCATCTCTACTCGAAGTCGAAGAAGCTATACGACGAATGAAAAGTGGAAAAGCACCTGGCATGGACGGATTATCAACTGATGTCATCAAGGCTGGAGGACGTGCTCTATCTACACGACTTCATGCTCTTTTCGTCGAAATATGGGAAGAGGAAAAAACAATTGATGATTGGTCAACAGCAATTATAATTCGTCTGTTCAAGAACAAAGGTGACAAACGGGATTGTAGTAACTATCGTGGAATCTCTCTCTTACCGGTGGCAAGCAAAGTTTTCTCTCGTGTTATTCCGAATCGTGTGCAGAACCATCTGGGAACACAAATTATGGAACAACAAGCTGGTTTTCAGTCGAATAGATCTACTATTGATCATATTTTTACACTTAAATTATTGATGGAGAAAACACGAGTTCACAACAAATCACTCTTCTTATGCTTCATTGATATACAAAAAGCCTACGACTCTATTAACCGCGAAATTCTATGGCGTATATGCAGACATTATGGACTCTCCGAAAAAATTGTTCGATTGCTCCAACTTTCATATAAAGATTCCAAAGCAAGAGTACGTATCAACGGCGAATTATCTGATCCCTTCGATATCGAAACTGGTGTTCAACAAGGTGGCATTCCATCACCAATTCTTTTCAACGTCTTCTTCGATTTTGTGATGCGTCAAATCTTTGATCGGCTGGCCATATTAAATGTCACAGGTGTAAAGCTAGCATATGGAAGAGACTTCTTTCACTCAGTAAATGATAACAATGATGATATCGAGCTGCTAGCACTCCTCTATGCCGACGATGTGGTTGGTTGTTTCGACAATGCTACAGATTTACAACTCTTTGTTGGAATTTTCGAAGAAGTATCACAAGAATATGGTATTACAATGAGCACCAAGAAGACATGTATTATGCAATGTAGACAACTCAAGATGAACACATCAAGAAAAATTATCAAAGATGAAGAGTTTATGTACCCACAAATCGACATAACTATCCGTAATGATACTATTACAATGGTGGATGAATTTTGCTACCTTGGTTGTTACTTTACTCGTACATTCTCGTTCCATCGTGAAATGGACGTGCGATTAGCAAAAGCAACAACGGCGTTTAATATGCTTCGTCATGTGATATGGTACCGAAAAACAATATCTATTGAGGCGAAACTTCGTATCCTTCGATCATGTGTTCTTCCAGTATTACTCTATGGCAGTGAAGTATGGTCTCTAACAGTGGCCATGGAGCGCCGTATGTGTACATTTTATCATCGATGCCTTCGGACGATTGTTGGAATTAACCTTGGGGACCAAATGTCAAATGAACAACTTCTTCAAATCACGGGCCAGCCCAGCCTTGAAAATATTCTTCGAAGAAATCGCCTTCGCTGGTTTAGTCACGCGAATCGAATGAATGGCGCAAACAATGAACCATCTCTCATCAAGAAGATTATGTTCTCGTACTATTTGGATTCTAAAAGACCTCGCAATGCTGGTACATACAAGAGATGGGAAGATAGGATAAAAGATGATCTGGAAAAACTAAACATTCATAATTGGAGAAGAGAAACTCTTGATCGAGATTCTTGGCGAAGGACGATCAACCAATTCACACAAGTCAAACCTCCAGTACCTGACATACTCAATATTATTCGACAAGCTAAACAACGGGCTGTTCAAAGACGAGCCACAACTTCATCCCCTCCTCCAAAAGTTACTCATCTACTCATTCGAAATAACAACAATACGTTCACCTGCCCGAACTGTAAGAAGGAATTTAAACCACAAGGAATAACCAACCACGCAAAGTCTTGTGCAAAGAAGTGGTGTCAACAACATGGAATTCCAATTGGCTAACAAGTGATCTCATCCAGTGTGGAAGAAGCTGACTTCAAGTAAAGAGTGCTCAATGAAGGTGGTCATCGAAACCAAGTCTGCATGGCTTGGAGACGGCAACCGGAACAATCATTTCCTTACTTGAACTCATCGGCGATCGAACAGAAAAATGAACTTTTGAATATTCTTTTTGTTTATCTTTTTTGTAACTTTTTTTTTTTTGTCTTCACCCTAAACCAAGGTGGTACGGGTATAAATACATACATACAAATAGATAAGAAAGAAACATCACTTTATAACGAACGATCTTACATATCTTCTTGAATTTTCACATCAGAAAATGTTCATTACTATCATCTAAATTGCCCCTTTAGTTGATTGAACAATGTATGAAATTTGATACTAAATGATATTCTATTCTTATTATGACATAGGCTGGAATAAAAAGTGGACAGGTCGAGGAAATTATCTGGCAGGCTCTTAAAATGTTGACCTGTCATAGGCAGACCAAGCCTACAAACGTTGAATCTTGTTGGATCTCTGGTATACCATGTCGACTTTATAGCTTTTCATCACCTTATTTTAATATAGTCGAAGCAAATATGAGACTACGAAGAGAACAAGTATAACGAATTTTATTTGAACAAATCGATTGTGAATATATTTGAAATATTTCTGCTTTTCCACGGTAATAATTAACTATTCTTGTTCTTTTTTTTTGTTGATCCTTTCATTTTCTTATAAGGCATCATTAAAAAAACTTCGAAAAAGTTTTTATTTATCCGAAGAAATCTGCAGAATATTGAAAATACTAAACTAAAATCAGAATTTCGTTTTCTTTTCGAATATGAATTCGAAATTTTTGTATTTGAACTAAATTTTGCTTCTACTTTAAGAATTTATTTTTCCGAGCTAAACTTCATCTAAAATGAATTGATAAGTTTCTAAAATATCAACTCATAAATCCTAAACTAGAAGTTCTACAAAAATTTAAAAAGATTACAACGAATGAACATATATTCTATTTTTTTTTCTATAATACATTGTACAAGATATGAACAAGACCAGTACACATATCCACCAATTGAATATTGTCTTTCTTATTCTATTGAAAAATCTTTGTTATCCTGATTGATTTGTATCATCGCATCATCCAAGAATGAAGTAAAATCAAATATTCTTGTTTTGTTTTTTTGAAAATTTGTTCTATTGAAAGATCTTTATCAACAAATATGAGTGAACAATGTCAATCTAAGTTATTTCGGCAAAATCATAATTAAAAAAAAAAACTTTAAATTTGTCAAAGAGGTATAGAATAATATATCTTCTTTATTCATATCAACTATTTGAGGGTCTGCTATATTAGACTTTATTAACATAAATCTGCCCAGAATAAGAAAAGTCTTCAGAGAAAAAAACAACAACATTCTGCTTAAATAATTAAGAAACTCTTAACTATTGATTTTTATGCCAACGAAACATTATTTCGAGAAAGAAAGTCAGTTTCTTTTAAAACAATAATTCTTAATTTTGAATTAATTCAATATCAAATTTTAAAACGTTTTCACATATTTAAAAATTTCGAATACAAAAATAATCTTGGTCATTCATTTATTAAAAAGCTCATCATAGGTATTGTTTAAATAATAAATTTGAACTATTTTTGATCTAGTTTAGTTTCGAGAAACATCACTAATGGATCTTATTTCTAAAGAATATACTGACAGATCTATGATAAAGATTTATTGATCTTACAATAAGATAAAATCTATAGAAAACAATTCGATATAATAACTCTTCCGTTTCGTAGTCGAAGAATAAAGACAAACGATTAAAATAGTATAGGTTACAGTTAAACTTAAAAACAAAACAGTATTTATTTACTTACACACAACAAGCAATAAGGACTAGATTTTAACTCTCCGTTGTACCACTAGATAAGAAAATTTTAATAAAAAGATTTGACGCATTCATTTGCTAAATTTTCGAAGAGGAAACATTGTAAAGATTTTGACCCTATGACAAATATTCTTTATTCTAATTGAGATGAAACTTTCAATATTTTTTTTGTCCGATAAACCATTCTTGAATAGTACCGAGAGAAAGATTCAAAGACTTTTCATAATCGTTTGAAAAACTTACTTTTGCTCATGATCTATTTATTTTTTTAGTATTTAAAGATTCATGTACACCGTCTTCATTTCAAGGTGAATCATTTAAAGAAACTATTCATCTATATGATCAATTATTATCATTATGTTCAATAAAGGTTTATTTTATTTTTCTTTCTTTGAAACTCTGAATATAATTATTTTTTTTTAAATAGTTAGGTTTAAGTACTGCATGTCAAATATGACGTGGTTATTTATCTGATATAGATTGTCGAAAGAATATATTAAGTGAAGCTGTTGACAATATGAACAGCTGAAGAAAAAAAAAGCAAAAAAAAATTTCTATCGCGTTATGATTTAGCTCCATTGTATTTAGCTGATAAAAAATAAACATTTAAATGATATTGATTATCCAGTTGATCAATGTGTTATTACAAAACTTATTGATCAAGGTTTGTTCACGAGAATTTCTTTTTTCTGTTGTGTTAATAAAAGATTTTTTAATACAAAAGGAATGTCCGAAACATTATCTCGTCATTTTGGTTATCTATTTATTCGTGATTCACGTTTTATTTTAAAAGAACTTCTTCATCCGATTGATGATTAAAACTTTGTATCATTTTGAAGTTAGTTATTTTCATTTTCTATAATTTGTTTTAAATCAATTAATTTTAGAATATAAACAGTCATGTATGGAATAGTTTACAATTAAAACTACCATCATTAAATGATAAATCAATATGATGGCGAGTAAAATTTCGATCAATGGATGTATGTAAATTGCATCTTCAAATAAGTGATTTTAAAAAATGCAGCACTTGTTATTTTCTTAGCATTGATAACAAGAGTTATAATAACTTATGATCTTGATTTAACAACAACAACAATATCTCAGATTAATGAAAATAGGAATAGAGCATACCATCAGGATTCAGCGTGTCGAGAAAAATTTTACTTTTGATACGGTACTTACACTTCTCAAATTTTCATAAATAAAATTATAAATGATAACAAAGATTTTCTTGGTGTTGTTCTACTTGTTAGAAAATATATTCATGAACAAGAAGATATGGATGCTAATACAAGGCATACTGTTAAGCAATATCTTTTACTTGTATCAAGGCGAGCTGAAGGTTTTTTCTTTATCTGTAAGATTTTATTTAATATATTTTCAAGAAACTTTATTGATAACTGCATCCTGGATGCGACAATTTTTACTTTCACATCCATCATATAGATAAGATTTGATTGTATCTTGAAAAAATTCAATATAATCTTATTTGGAAACTGTTACAAATAGCAAATGAACATGAAAATTATTCACAAATTAAAGATCCAAATATGCATACATACGTATACTGAATTATATTCAAAATAAAAACATTCTCTTCTAACTGATCTTACAACATAAATGAGACTTTTTCTATTCTATCAACATCTTCATTACAAGCGTAGAAAATCTCTCAGCTATAGGAGACATGAAGTGCATATGTTCCAACAATATCTCCTATCATAGGCGGCGGAAGGCTTTTCAGTGTGTAAAATTCCGATTTCTGATTATAGGGCTTAGATGAAACTCATGGAGAATGATAGCAGGTCTAAATGATGGACTTTTATGAAAAGAATTTTGTATTTAGAGCTTGTGAAAAAATTTAGCATTTTCCTGAGCCTACTCTAGGTTTTATTGTTGCTATTATTAGTATTTTATTTTTAAGACTTTCCTAGTAAGCTACATCAAACTTTGTTGACAGATTTCAAATGTCATCGAAAAATATGCAACCATTCTAGAGTTATAACCTTTTGAATTTTTGATAAAATTGGTTTCATGTGTAGCAAATTTTAAAAATGTTATAATTCTGGAATGGTTGCATATTTTTCGATGAAATTTGAAATCTGTCGATGAAGTTTGATGTAGCTTACCAGGAAATTCTTAAAAATAAAATACTAATAAGAGCAACAATGAAACCTAGGGTGGGCTCAGAAAAATGCTAAATTTTTTTGCAAGCTCTAAATACAAAATTCTTTTCATAAACGTCCATCATTTTGGTCCGCTACCACCCTCAATGAGTTTCATCTAGGCCCCATAATCAGAAATCGAAATTTTACACACTAAAAATATTCTTCCGTCGCCTATGTCTCTATAATTCTCATATCTTTTGTGCTGATGCTTTATTGAATTTTTGAGAGTACTCGTAGAAAGCATCTTATGTGAAAAGGGTGTCAAGTCGAATCAATATTATTTGCTGAGTATAAGATCAATTTTAAACACAACTGTATTTCAATTAATTTTTGAAAATATAATTATTTTCCATTTAAACCGAAATGTCTAATTCTTTTTCGCGTAAAAATCGACGAAAAACATTTATGCTTGTGTACTTATTCTTCGAAAAAGAAGTTTCTTTAATTAGGAATCTAATTGTTCAAGTGCTGTGCTCACTTTCATGAAAAATTTTCTTACTGAAATTTGAGTATCGAAGCATCTTTAAATGTAACTAGATTCTAATGTAAAAAATTCAATAGAATAGTATATCTAGTTTTCAACTTCACTATAGACACAAGTAAGGACTACTGAAAAGGATGTGATTACTAAAACTTAGCTTATTCATGCTCTCATTAGACATTTCGAAGTAGTAGTGAAACTTTTTTACTTTATTGTTCTAAATAAATAGTGATTTTTTTACATAGAAAATACGAATGAACAATTTTTTTCCTTATATTTTCTATGATGCAAAAGTTTGAACTATAGTCAACATTTTAGATTTGTTTTGTTTTATTTGAAAATATACCGACATTACCGAACATATTTTTGCGATATTTATCGATGAGTATTCAATAAAAATAATGATAGACGAGATACAAGATTTAACTTCTAATATGGAAGATAAATTAGATCGAATATCAAGTGAAGTATTTGAATTATCCTGATTGATCTGTTCAAGTACATATTCCTGTGAATTTTGCGTAACTGATTATTTCATTAGAGAATGTAAATGTGTTAGATATGGATGTGAGTATGGATCTCTGCGGTTTTTTCTCTTTATTTACACTCACACCCTAATTCTTGCTTTGATTCAATCTATTCTTTTGCTATTTTAAATATATATTTTTATAAAATTTTATTTCATGTGTCTTTTTTATGAAAGGCATTCGAATCTTTTTTTGAATCAACAGTGTAAACAATATTAATTTAACAGATGCATCTACAATTTAATTTGCTTCTAAAAAATTTTCATTAATAGTGAATTACATTATCTATTGATGAAATAAATTATATTTTCGAAAATCATGAAATATTCGATTCTCTTAATAGATATTATGGCAAGTATGTAAACATGGCATAAAATATGTGTTAATGGTATTTTTATACATGTTCGCTCTCTTTCTTGACATAAACATATTAGTTTAACTAGAGTTATTATTTCTTCTTTCATTTTCTTAAATATTTTTCCCTAATGTATTCTCTTTACTACTATCACCATTATTGTGATGTAATGACTGATGTATTTTTTTTAAATTTTATTATTGTTTTTTTCGTACTTTCCTCTCACATCTTATATATAGATTCATTTTTCCTATAACATAGATGTGTCGATAGAGAGATAGATGAACGAATTTCGGACAATAAAAAATAAAGATACTAAAAATTCAATCTAACCATTATTAAATAAAATTATAAACATTATATATATACATCAATGTCTGTATTATACATGAAAGTATTCTATTTGATACGATTTCTCACTGTGTATAGGAAATAAAACTGAAATTGTATGATTATCGTATAAAAATAAAGAAAATTACTTCGATTAAATTATAATTGTTAATCACGATACTTATATAATAATGAAGTTCTCAGGATTGAGTCTGAGTGAAATCTTAAATGATTTTAGAGATCTTTTGATATTCGAAACTCGAGGTACTTCAAAATGATCTCGCACTACAAGTAAAGCTTGTATGCTATCTAGTTTTTATTCTCAACGCATAACTTTAATACTATTGTTCTTCTAGTCATAGATATTGCTTTAAAACAAAATGTCGCACATGAATTATAATTTTTCTACAGATTATGTTTGAAAGAAAGTATTGGAAGGTCTTGAACATATTTATCGAAATCATGGAATCTCAAAGTCGTTATATATGGAAGTTTCTACGTAAATACAAGTTTAATCTTTTATTTTTATTTTTTTTTTTCAATAATTGAATTATTTTTATAGCGTGGTTTATGAATATTGTTTACGTTATTTATTAGAACGCATTCCATCATGAAGATCTACTCGAAATAATCGATAAAATGATGTACCTATTGAAGAATATGTTGTTGGTGAATTATATATCAAATGTTCGAGAGAGTAATTACTATTTATTAAATAATAAGACTATGAAAATTTTTGTTGCTAAAATAGGATAGTCATCATGAACATGATTTTGTCATGTAAGAGATTAATGAAAAGAAAATATTCTGAATTTTTTGTAAACTTATGTATCAAAATAGGAAAAATTATACATTCAACCGCGAAAATATAGTGAATACTGAAGGAGTATAGAACACATACATATCGGCTTCCATAATTGTGACGCGATGATATTTTATCCACAGTTTTTTCGAGTTTTCTTCGAAAGTAGACTATTTAGATATTTGATTGTTTCATCAAATGATGCATTTCTCTACCCTGTCGCAATTTCTGAAAACTCGAGTCGATTTCGTTTAGTCGTTTGAAAATTCTGTCAAAAATATTGAACGAAATGCAATGATGAATAATGGACAAAAAAAGTTGAGGGTGACATGTTTTTCTCTGGATGCGCACTACATTGGAAAAACCGATCCATAAGAATTTTGTAGCTGATAGTGTGGAGCATTCAGCGAAAAAATAAAATGATTTAATAAGATCATTTATTGACTCGTTATTTTGGTTTAATTAACACAACGCGATGATGAAAATCAGTAAAATACGCTCTCCTTTTTACTATCGAAATTTTGTTAATGATTGACAAATAGGAGCAAAATCACCTATTCTTAGAACAAAGAAGAGATTTTGCTCAGTTTGAGCTGGGACCTATAGTATGAAAGCATTGATATTAGAACTCGTTTTTTTTGAATTTTCCGATATTACAGTTGACGTGTTACGATTTTTTGCCGATATACATCCGTAGCATAGTGTTCTATTTTCAGAAGATCGAATTAAGACAAATCATTAATGACATTATGTTTAAAAAAAAATAGACTCCTTCTTTTCTTTTTATTTAATATGAAATAATTAAAAATTCTTCTTGATTTCATGCAATGAACAATGTTAGAATTATCAGTTTATTTTTATCTACCAATTGTTTTATTTTGTGAGATTTTTCATCTCTTATGTTGTACAAGCTTTAATATTGTTGTTATTGATTGATATAGTGCGAACTATAGAGTTATACTAGAATAGTTATAAGGTGAATTGTAACTTCATTTTTATAATAGCAACTATTAACTATTCTTAGTCATATGATATCAACAGTGCTCACGTTATATTTCTAAATTTGAACTCTTTTTTTTATTTCGAGCTTACCTACTGCCTGATAAATATAATTCTACGATATCATCCAAAGTCGATAGGATATCTTGCTGTT